GTTCACCGGTACTTTCTCAGGTTTAACAGTGCTTGGTGTACGTGTGTATTGTGTCTGCACAAATTTAACTCACAAGTTAGCAAAAATGAATACAAAACAGACGTCCTTAGAAAGTTTCCTTGGAAAAAAGAAAAGGCTCAGTGAAGAGACCGAAGAGCCTTCAACATCAAAGAAACATGCAACTTTTAACAGACAATACCATGAGTCCTACTTGAAGTATGGTTTTGTCGGGACAGGCGATTCACACAAACCAAAACCGCTCTGCATAGTTTGCGGCGATCAACTCTCTAATGACGCGATGAAACCTTCAAAACTGCTTCGCCACTTGAACGCCAAGCACCCTGGATTAAAAGACAAGTCCCTGGAGTATTTTGAAAGAAAAAAACGGGAACACGAAGAACAGAAAAAATTTATGATGGCCACCACATCAATAAAGGAGAGTGCACTAAGAGCATCATATTTGGTGGCTAACCGCATTGCTAAAGCTAAAAAGCCATTCAGTATTGGTGAAGAATTAATCTTGCCCGCCACTAAAGACATTTGCCGTGAAATACTAGGAGAAGCTGCTGTGGAAAAGATAGCACATGTGCCTTTGTCGGCTAGCACTGTGACTAGGCGCATTGAGGAAAAAGCCGAAGACATTGAAAAGCAATTGTTGGAGAGGATTAATACATCACCGTGGTACGCACTCCAGGTTGACGAATCTACAGATATTGACAGCAAGGCAATACTATTTGTTTATGTGCGATATCTATATCAGGAAGATGTGCATGAGGATTTGTTATGTGCACTATCTTTGCCAACCAACACCACAGGAGCAGAACAAGTCACTGGATGGTTATATATCAAGACAACTAAAATGGTCCTTTTGTGTAGGCATATGCACAGACGAAGCTGCTGCTATGACCGGACGTCTATCTGGTTTAACTGCTCGGATTAAGGAAGTTGCACCTGAGAGTGAAGCTACACATAGTCTCATTCTCAGGGAAGTGCTAGCAAGCCGAAAAATGTCACCAGAATTTAACAGCGTATTGATTGATGTCGTTAAAGTTATTAACTACATCAAAGCACACGCCCTTAACTCGCACCTGTTTGAACAGCTTTGTGAGGAGATGGACGCAGAGTACAGATGCCTTCTGTTATACACAGAAATAAGATGGTTATCCAGAGGAAAATCGCTACTGAGAGTATTTGAATTGCGAGAGCCATTGCAAAGATTTCTCTTAGAAAAGAAGTCACCGCTGGCAGCACATTTCAGTGACAAGGTATGGGTCACCAAACTGGCTTACCTGCGTGACATATTCAACCTGCTGAATGAACTCAATCTGCGCCTTCAGGGGAAAATGACAACTGTTTTCAAGTTGGCTGACAAAGTAGCTGCCTTTAAAGCCAAACTGGAGTTATGGGGACGATGCGTGAACAGAGGCATTTTCGACATGTTTCAGACATTAGCGGGTATTTTAGGCGAGACAGAGCCTGAAGATTCATTCTCCCAGTTGGTTCTTTGCTTTTAAAAGAGTTCGAGCGCTACTTCCCAACCACAAAAGTCCCACGAACTGGTAAGGAATGGATCCGCGAGCCATTTGCCAACAAATCGGGTGAATGTAGCTTGTCAATGCAAGAAGAAGATCAACTGTTGGAAATTGCAAATGACGGTGGCCTTAAGACTACGTTCGAAACAACAACTCTGCTGGTGTTCTGGATTAAAGTCTTGGCAGAGTACCCCGAGATTGCCACCACAGCACTTAAATCCTTATTGCCACTTCCGACAACCTATCTGTGTGAAGCGGGATTTTCTGCAGTAACAGCAACCAAAACAAAGCAACGGAATAAACTGGAGATAAGCAACACACTTCGGGTGTCATTGTCTCCGATTACCCCCAGATGGAGCCGTCTTATTGCAAAGAAACAAGCTCAGGGTTCTCATTGATGTAACGTTCAAGTAAGTTAAAATGTTAAATCACTTTATTTCTTGGTGTAACTGCATTTTATTTTAAAGGTATGTTCAAATACAATTAAATTAAAATTATAAAATCAAAATAATCTAAAATATGAACAATCAATGCCCCCCCCCCTTCAGTGGGCCGTGGTAAAATTATCAAATGTTGACAGGTCCGCGGTGATAAAAAGGTTGGGGAACACTGGTCTATATGATGTAAGTTGTGTAGGATCCTTGTCTATTTTGAGAAATAAAAGTACTAGACCTTTTTTGAAATGATCAGGGAATACACGTTAGGTTAAGCATTTATTAAAAAAAATTCGTGAAGAAATTATCAAAAAAGTGAAAAATATTTTTGATGATTATGTAATCAATTCCTGGAGCTTTCTTGCTGTTTAGAGATTTAATTAAGTTTATGAGTTCAGTTTGATTAAACGGTGGGTCTAGAGTGAGATTGGAATACTAAAATTTGTCTATCGGTAATAAGTTTATGTCAGGGAAAAGATTTTCTAGTATTAGGGGGAGTTTGCATTGTAGATATCTGTTGTTGTCGAGGGATGTGTGCTATTACGAAATGGCGTTTCGTAGTGAGCGCCAAAGGTTTTACAGGAGTTTTCGCAAAGCATTTTCCAACCGTCGAATTTTGCTTTTATGATTCGTTTTTTATATTGGTCTCTTTTTAAATTGAAGATTGATTTATGCTTTTGATGTTCATCAGCTGATGTAGATCTTTGATATCTTTTTCTAAACGTATGAAGTTCTTTCTGTAAAATTGATAATTTGGAATTCCACCAAGGGAGATTAGTTATTTTATTAAAGGTTTTAGTTTCATAAGTGCTTTTGTAAAGTATGAAGATTTTGTCATTGAGATCATCTGTGAGGGTGTTTAATGCAGGTGCATCATTTATGCTTTCTAGTTTAGAATTATGGTCTGGAAAAAATTTTGAAAATCATTTTTTACATTTTCGATGATTCCCAAATTTGGTTTTAAATCTAATAAAAGAAGAGAAGTTGAAAGAATCACTCAGCTGTATCATTATATATTTGTGATCTGAATTTGATTCAATGTCTGAAACGGACCAGTTAGAGTAATTAAGTATATTAAGACTATTTGTTAGACTAAGATATGGGAGAGATGAAGTCTGAGAGGCAACAAAAGTGGGAGGTTCATTAGGAGTGTTTAAGATCTTAATATTATTAGAAATTTTAAAATCCATGAGTGCCTCACCGCATTACATCTGCATTATTGTAGCCCCAGAACTCGTGATGGGCGCTGAAATCACAGCAGATTAATAAATTTTACAGATTTGTATCAATCGAGAATTTTGATTTATGTTGTGTTAAGTCAGTTATTAAATTAATATCACTATCAAAAGGAAAGTTATAAAGAGATACGATCACGATTTAGGATTATCTTTGGTATGTAGAGAGATAGCGATAGAATGTTCTGAAGAGATCAATTGTAGAGGGTTGTTTGATTTATTCACAATAAAAATACCACTCTTGTTATTCTTTGAGTGAAATAGTTTCCATGATAGTGGAAAACCTATTATATTACCTTTAGGACAATAGGGTTTTTGAAAACAGACTGCATCAATTTCCAGCTCAGCAGCTGAATTTTGGAGAGTAAGCATTGCAGATTTACTGCTTTGTAAAGTTATCTGTACAATTTTTAAACTATCCAAATTTGTCGATATTGTGAATTTTTTGTGGCTATTATTGTAGTCGTTTCGCATTTTAAGAAAAGTAAGAACGTAAATAAAATAAAAAATAAAAATTTTATTTGGTATTTATCTTTTTTTTAACCTATGAGCACTCTAGAGTAGGACACTAAGAAATAAAAAAGAATGATCGGAAGAAGTGAAAATTTATAAACTGGGTTAAAGAAATAAGAAGTATGTTTAAAGAAATGAGGAATTGTTAAAAACTTAGTGAGAATAGGAAAAACAAAAAGAGCTAAAGGAATAAAGGAATNACATAAAATCGAAATAACAAGTCTTTTTATACTAGGGAATTGTATTTTTGCTGTGGTAGATACGCTACAGTACTCCCCTACCAGAATTTTATCTGTGATAGAATTCGATGAATCTGTGGCGTAACTACCACTACAAATACCAAATCACTAGTATATAAGACATGTTAACTATCTTGAGGTACCTTTTGATACATTAAGGTTGACATAGTCGAAAATTAATTCCCTCAAATCACTGCTGTTTTGTGAGAAGACGCTGCATGAAGATCACCGTACTTTTGAGTGCTGATCGTGAGAGCTGTATTAAGTTCGCTCCTGTTTTGCCTTTTAGCAGTCGAGTGTATACGCTGTACGTGATCGAGACTGAGTAGCAACAGAGCGAGGAGGTGGATAACCTCGCAGTCACAACTCAATTATTCAATGTGGATCATCCATCGAAGTAGGCGTGTTCAGATCGAATTGAGAGTTACTGTCAAGATAGGCGTGTTCATTTCAAAGTGGCAGTTTCTGACAACGTAGGCATGTTCACATCACTCCCGGGTCACCAATGTGGGGAGAGGAGTATTCGACCGTGTAAATCGCCATCTATAAAAAGGTAGACAACGACGATCTGTGGTTGATAAGGTACCTGGTCGCGTAAGCGTGCTCTAAACCTCTTAATCTGAAATTTTGCCCTAGGGCAACTGGTACTTTTGGCATAGATAAGTAGGGGGAAATAAAGGAAGTTGGCGGTTGGGTAGCGTGCTGCAATATCAAATCATGATATTAGGTTAACATATAATATTAAATGGAATATATATATATATATAAACTTAATAAATAAAGAAAGTAGTATTAGACTTCGAGCTTAAAAATAAAAGTATTTAGTCTGTAGGCTTTTAAACTTCGGACTTTTTTTAAATTTTTAGGATGAAAGGTGTCTTATTAATTGATTTTAGTACCTTGTATGCTGATTTGAGAAAACTTTCTGCTTGTTGAGTTGTTGCTGCTTTTTAAGACTATTTAAAGCTCTGAGGTAACTTGAACATGCTGGATCTGCTGACGTGTGTTAGTGGTTGATGTTCGTGTTTCTGCACGAATTTGATTCTATGCTGTTGATGCATAAAGGGGGTTTACTTGTACAGCTGTCCACTGAGTGATTTCCTCCACATAACCCACATGAAAATTGATTGGTGCAATTTTCCTGGTGATAGCCTATGATCTGGTAGTACCTGCAGCATAGTAAGGTTATCCTCTTTTTTATATAGCATTTATTGAGACCAACATATATATAGTTCATATTCAATAGATGTTGAGCTAATTGAAATGTAGCTTTGAAGATAACATGCTTTTTTTGTATCATCTTTTTTGTGTGAAATTGATTTTAGAATGTTGATTTCATCAAAGTTTTTGTTAAAGTTAGCTCCCTGTTTGATTCGATTCAAAACTTCATCTTCTTTATGGGTTGTCGGCACATTTAATAAGATAAGTGGGTTTAATCGTTTGGTTTTGTCTTTAAAGGGCTGTCTGGTGTGCTTAATGCATTCTGTAAATTTGTCTTTATTACTATCGCTGTAAAATTCAATTTCTACTATCTTGTCATTTTTATATATTTTCTCGATTATTGGTCTGTTTGTGTTGCTTGTTAATTTATTTACGATGTCGTCCGTACTGCAGTCTTTGCTTGCTGGTTGGATGATTGGAGCTGTTGGTGAAGGTCTTTTGACAATTTCGCTGCATGTCGGTGAAGGAGTCTTTAACTCTTGGATTTTTTAAGAAAGTTTTCTAATTTGGTTGCCAATTGTTGTTAATCGGTCATTTGGTCTAATTGTTGAGACCTGTAGTGGCATTTCTTTCTGGATATTCTTTAGTAGTCATATTGCGTCATAGCAGTTCTCTCGTTGACATTTTGATAATTTCGGATTTCTGTCGCCATTTCTGTAATTCAGTGACAAGAAGTAGCTTATCAACTGGATCATCTTAATCTAAGCAGGAACAGTGCTTTCTGATATCTATTATTAGCAAGTAGAGTTATTAAGTTGAATAAGTGTTAAAAAAATAGATTTTATTAAGAAGCGAAAGAAGCGGAAATAAGCAATTTAGGGAGCAATTAGCAGGAGTATTTGAGTTGTAAATGTTAGTACTTTGAAAGTATAATATGAAATGTGGCGATGATGAGTCAGTCCTGACCCCTAAAGAAGTCCCCACAGTGAGCAAGAGTTTAGATTATGAATGAATGAAAAATGTGGATAATATATATTGATATGAGAGATATAGAACAATAGAAAGTTAGCAGTAAAAATTATTGAAAAATTTGGTGATGATAATGTAAAAATTTCAGTTGTTAAGAGGAGTTCCATCAATTAGGGTTAAAAAATTTAAAAGATTAAATAGAGATTTTTTTTTTTAAAGACAGTACTTTAATGAATAATTTAGCTATAATGTGTAATTAAGCATTAAAACTTATTGGCCCCAACCTACGTGAGCAAAAAGTTACGAATGGCTATGTATTATGTATTATGGAAAAGTTAAATATTAGAAAAGGGAAAGTTTAGTTGCCCCTACCTATGTGGGAAAAATAAAGCCTAAATTACACTTGAGAAAAATTTTATAAAAAAAAAAAA